ATATACATGGATGAATCGGAATTTATGCTACATTAAATATGTGAAATTTCATGAAACCAGAAACATTTTACTGTTCATAAATTTTTAAGTAAAATATTCTTATATTTTCTTGGAATTTATCGTTTATAAATTTACTAGAATTTATATTTTTTTAAAATAGTTTGTAATTTTCTCAATTATTTAAAAATTATCGTTAAAGATATGTACAACATTTCACACTTGTATCAGGTGTTAATTATACTGAATTATAACACTTTTATATAAATATTCTAGATTTATGTCTTTTATATAAATAATACTAGAAATTTTGAAATTAAAAAAATTAATATACTATAATTCACTTTCAATTATATCTAATGTAAAAAATTGATTCGGATTTCGAACAATTCGGGTTCGAAATCCGAATCAATTTCGTTTGGAGACACCATTAAAGAAATACCTTTATTAAAACAAAAAATATAGTTATTTATACAGTTATTATATAATAAATGATTATATAAAGATATAAACTTACTTTATTTGTATAATTTTATTACATTTATAAAGCAGAAAAATTATTTATTTGTAAGAAAACTTTCATTTCTATAATAATTTTGTACATATTCATAATTCAAATTTGTTTAAAAGTATATTTTAAAGTAAAAATAAATAAGATAAAACCATAAATATGTAAATATAAATTGCATAATACATTAAATCTATTAAATCAATAGATATAAAGTTGAATTAATAGAAGAACATTATAGGAAGTTATTTCATTGAAGACATTAAAGTCAGCTATATAATAAATAAATATAAGAAATTATACATTAATATGATTTATTTTATGTTTTGATTTTATTTATTTACATATTGAAGACATAAATATATATATATATATTCATATGCTCATAATTTAAAGAATTTTTATTTAGTTATAAAGTATATATTTTATAATATAATATATACAGAATATTCTGTATATATGTAAAATAATAAATAAAGAATAAAATGAATATTTTACAGACTACAGACATGTTATTAAATTGAATTGTATCCTGTATTCTTTATGACTTAAATTCAATTAGCATATAAATTAATATTTAAGTTTATGATGATTTTAAAAATTTTATGATGATAATATTTATTTAATTAATTCTTTTTAATGTACTGTACTTAAGTAATTACAATTTATAACAAAAATATTATTTTAATTTAAGTTATTTCACTTTAATTAATATAAAAATATAAATACAGTTAGTAAACAGATTTATTATATAATTATAAGTATTTTATACCATTGAGATTTGTCTAGAAAACTGTCAAAATTGTTAAATTATTAAAATATATTTCATTTAAAGCTATGATATTTAATTCAAACATTTCAAATTTGTAATAAAATTGAAGATATTTTCTCTAGGGAAGTTAAATGGATAAAATTTTCAAATTATAAGGAATAAATTCATTCCTTTTTTTTATTGTTTTTAATTATTCATTTTTATTATTTTTCATAATAAAAAAAATTGTTTTAATTTGAATTACCAATTAAATTTGATTTAGTTTTAATATAATAAACTTTGTTATATGGAAAAATAATGTTTTTTTTTCTTTTCTTTTATACTTAAATTTCATTAAAAAAATAATTAATTAATTAAACGAAACAAATAATATTTTGTTTTAGTTTGATACTTATATTAATTAAATTGAATGTAATTTAATGTAAATATATAGATTTTATTTGTTTAAAAGGGCATGATTCTATTTAAATGTTATGATTTGTGAATATTGAAATGAATTATTTAATTAGTTAATTAATTAATTATATTAATTAATATTTAGTATACAAGAATGATTGGATTAAAATTTGTTGGTTCTAAAATATAACGTATAAGAGGCACTTTCTCTACAAAAAAAATAATAAATTTAAAAGGTATAAGACCTCCTGTACTTGTTGAATTTATGTGTAAATCTGGTCATATACAAATAAAACACTTATTAATCAGCAAAATTTTATGGTGTTAACAGTCAAACTGTGTTAAAGTTTAGATATAATTTATAAGTAAGTCCTTAAAGAAGTTTATCACCAATAAACAGTGAATATATAATCTGTATAAGTATTAATTCGTGCGAAATTGTACCAGAATAAGCTTCAATGTATCAACTTTCAGTGATGTAATAGAACACTAACTTCATTACATATAAACTAACTCACATGTTTAATGTGATTAATATTGAAACGATAACTTAATTAATTAGCTAACTTATATATATATTAAAAAAACAATTAAAAGTTCCAATTAATTGTGTAATCAAAATTCTATAGAAATGATTTTAAGTTCTATCCATTAGCAGAACGTTTTTCTTGCTTCTTTTATTGTCTTATCTAGGATTTAGTAAACCGAACAAGAGATTGCTCCTAAGAGAGATAAGTGAAGAGATACAAAATCGCCAAAACATCTTATGTTACTTTTCATATGTCCAACGATCTGTTTTTGTCGATAAGCTGCTCTAAGAAATTGAACTTTTGTAGATCTACACTATCTACTCGAGAAAGACTTATTTATTTAACGTTTTCTTCTTTTTTCTTTGCTTGATTTTACTCGATACGTAATTCTCATATAATCATGCATCTTTTTATTAGAATAAAACATTAGTTTATGTATATATATACATATATTTTTTTATATGTATATAAAATCAAACGAATGTTCAATGGTAGTTCCTATTTTTTTTATTAGGTTATTGGCTTTTTATATATAAAAATTTCTTTGAAATTTAATTGTATATAGCTTTTTAATAGTGAATAGAATAAAAATCCTTTTTATATATCTCTTATATCAAATAAAATTTATTCTAAATTTAGTTTTTTTTTCTCGTGTTGCATCCTGAAGTTGCACTTCAAATATTCGTAGAGAGAGAAAGTAACTAAATCTTTTTTTCAGAGTAACTTTACCAAACTACTCGAAAGAAGAGAAAATATTTGCTCAAGGTTTCGATATGTTTTCTCAACTGATTTTTACCAATTTTCTGCACAGATTGAGATTCTAAAAGAACTATTCACTTTATACGGATACAATCTACAGATTAGGTTATTTTTTTTGTTTNTCGATATGTTTTCTCAACTGATTTTTACCAATTTTCTGCACAGATTGAGATTCTAAAAGAACTATTCACTTTATACGGATACAATCTACAGATTAGGTTATTTTTTTTTTTTGTTTTTTTAAACCCTCATTTAAATAATTTAATATAAAATTTTACTAAATTAATTAATTTTTGTCATTATATATTATTATATAACTCATTCTTCTTAAGTTAACCAACGACTTCGATAACGCAATTACTTATAAATACCGTCTTGAAGAATTTATCTGAATAAAAGAGGATGGGGGAAAAAACAAAAAGAAAAAAAATTTCTGTTGGTGAGATCAGGCCAGAAACGTGCTGTCTAACCTCACAAGACATAACAGATGATTTGGACAGCGTAACAGTCAGACATCAATATTTGATCAGATGGTGTCTTTATTTGGTATCTTGTCTATTTGTTTCTTCCTGTATAACTATTGCTCATTCAACCTTATATAGTTTATATAATGACTTCTACATATTTCTAAACAGTATATACAATAATCATATATATATATATAACTTAATATATAAACATACAATTACCAAAAATAGAAGAAAAATACATTAAAAAACTCCGATTAGATATTTAATTAATGGATGAGAAAATCAAAAGACGGATCGATAGTTAAGGAATTTATTATATTTGTAAACAAGATAAACAAATTATATAAATTCTTCAAGGTGATTAGAAGTAATTAACAGTTAATATTTAATTAATTCTATCCGTTTGATTATATACAATTAAGTATCGGTTTCGGTGGAATCGATAGACGATAATTAATATTAGTAAAATCTTTAATCGTGTAATTTAAGTTTATCATTTAATTGACGTGATTATTATTATTATTATTGTAAATTATACTATTGCAATAATAACCGGAAGAATTTTTAAACATATTACAATATAAATTAAAACACGAAGATAAATCTTTCGACATTAGAAAATAAGGAGAACGTCGATTAAGTTGTAACATTAGTTTACGACATAGTAATTACACGAGTTGACATTGAAGAAAACGTCAAGGAAAGTGATGGAAAAGAAGCAGATACCAAAGAAGGTAAAGTAATGCTTAAAGAAGAATCAGACATTGTTTTATGGTCATCACTTCTACTAACTGCAACGCTGTACCATATAGTCAAGAATGATTGATTGCAGCATGCCTAAGATGTGAAGCAGGGGTTAAGGCGAACGAAGATTCTCTTGGCTTAATTACCTCTAAGCTACTAGATGTACAGTACCATCTTCTCAGTCTATATTATGGTGTACAGTTGGTTAGTTTAGGCAAGAAAAAGATAAATTCATAATTCGCCACATTTTAATAGTTAAACAAACAATACTCGGTTTTATATAATAAAAAAAATGAATAATGTATGAAGAAAATGTACTGTACTTAATCACTTTTATAATATATACTAAATGCGTGTTGCTCCGGTTTAAAGAATCGATATTTTTTCTTTATTAATATCCAGATAAGTTTATAAAATATTTGAATATTTATAGATTTGTTAAGTGCTCCTGAATTTTAAGTACTCGATGATAGTTGTTGTTTTGTATTGTAATTAACAGGAGAAGTAAAGACAGTGATGTAAGTTCTCTCTTCCCACACGTTTAAAAAGAAACAAAATTGTTTATCAACATTAAGAATCAATAACTTGAATTTTATGGTTTTAAATAATAAACTTTAAAGCGAATCCGTGTTTATATCACTTAACGAAATTTCAAAAGAGTATATATATTTATATATTTTTTTCTTTTACTTGATGAAAATTGATAATCGATAAACCAATGTTTCTTCGACGAAAACGATTACTTTAAAAGGTATAATCATATAAGAAACTTTAAGGAATGGAATCATTTATGTTTAATACAGTTTTTCTCAAGTGATTTTTGTCGATAATAAAAATTCCGTTATAACATAAATATTAGTTTACAGAATAAAAAAAAATATAAAGAAACAAACCTTAACAAAACTCGAGTAGGTGTTTATCTGACGATGGACTTAAGGAGAAAGTAAACAGCTTGTTCAACAAGCGCTGGGTGTCGCTGTTGTCGCTACAAATACGCATGCGTTTTATACAGAACTGACACGTGTCTCGCAGTTCAGCTCCCAGTTGTCTTCTCATACAGCACGTCGACTACATCATCCAGCATCCGACCTGGCTACTCCTGCAAATCCTTGCGCAGACAGCAAAATGCTGCGGCGCTATAGGGCAGCTAGTGGTTCTGCTCTAGATTTGGTACAGCTTCAAAAATCGGACGTAGAATCACCCCAATGCTGTCAAGCAAACAGATTAAGGAGAGTGTTCACGGCTCATTCGCGTCGCAAGAAGAACAAATCGAATTCAACCGGGTTCTCCTTGAATTTGGTGTTAAAGGAACCGTTGCGTTTAGCTAATTCAGTGCCTTTGAACTTTGATTTATCTAGGTAAGTCTTTATGTTATTTTATTTATTTTTTGTCGAAAACTTTAAATATAATGCTTAATATTTAAATAGAATCTTCCTTTTTTTTTAAATCTTAATTAAGAAATTTTTCTCTCATTCTTCGAATCAACAAGTGATTTTAAAAATTAATTTCGTTGATTAAATTTCTTCTTTATATATATATATGTATTGTGTAAACGAATGTTTTATAAAAATTGTAGAAGATTTATAGTTTGAATTTTATAGATTTAGTAAATTTCGAAAGTTATTCTTACCATGTGGTATGAATATGATTATATTATTTATGGAAGAAATGGTTTGTAGGAACTCCCATTTTCTTGACAATGACTTGTTTTTTTCCATTTCCTTCATTTATATCCTCATATGTGCAGGAAATGACAAACTACGCCCTATATTCAACTAAACGTGGAAAATCGATGGAATACATAGCTTACAGTATTATATAAAAATACCATAAAATGTACCAGGAAATTCGGATGATGTGATCTCTAGAGGATTTTTCTTAAGAATGGGATAAAGTACATTGTCATCTAGCATAAAGATTGATTCGGTTTTCTAAAAAAATGATCTAAGAAATAAATATATTTGAATAAAAATGAATTTCGAAAAACTTTTTTTAAGAAAAAAAAAAAGAAAATATAATCCAAATCTATCATATAAAAATTCAAAATTAAATTTTTATTATTGCTAGGAAATGAAATAAGATGAATTTATATATGTATATAAGTTAGCCAATTTTAAAATTTATAAGAAAAATCAATTAAATGATAGTTCGATGGTGTGAAAAATCATAAATTACTCCCTATTTTCAATCAAGCATTGATCTTCTCTTACTTAATGGTGAAAAACCGTGAAGTTGGAAAGCTTCCAAACTTTTCTATCCTATTAGCACATTCAATGTATGCCAGTTTGTATCTCTCACGTATTTGTATGATCATGTTTTATTTGCATAAACCATGAAGATATTTTCAACTCATTCGATTAAGTACAATTGTCTTGTTTGGTCATTGTCAATAATGCTTTGTCATTGTCATTCATTACCTGTTATATACAGTAACCAAATAACATTTTACACGTTAATGATCATAATAATAATTTTCATTTTTAAAGTCATAATTATATTCTATTTCAAGTAAAGAAATTTAATAGTTTCAATTTTTATTATACGCCAGAGAATCTGTTCATATATATATAGGTTATAAAAGATTAACTTAATTGAAAACAGTTGAACAAATATCCCGTTCATCAAATATTATTAGCTATAAGGGTGATTTTTATTTCTAACTTTGGAGCACGAACTCAAATGATCATCAATAGTATTACGTATCATATTGGCTTCGATAAGAGAGATCTGAAAAGAATTTGCTGCTATAAACAGCTTCAACCAACAAAGAATTTTTCAGATATGAAAAACACGAATAGTGTATTTGACAATAGAAAGGGTGATTGACGAACAAAACAGTTATCTACAATACCCCCTTCTTTCCTTCTCATGAAAGTTGTAACCGAATCAAAGAAGCAATACAACATAAAGTTAACAATTGTAAAAATTCATTTTGATAGAATTACCATTTATTAAAGCTCGATATATATATATATATTAAAGAAAGTAGTACATTAACTAGGTAATGATGATACGAAACCCGCATTAAGTTAATGACCCTTCATTTTTCGATATTTTAATTAACATCCCACATGTTTGACATATTTATGTAATATTTAAATTTTAGGATAATTACTTTAGGAATTAAATTATTTATTATCATCACTTCAATACTGAAGAATATTTGATTATTTGTTAAAGATTAATTATATTAATTAATAAATTAAAGAATTGAAAACAATTTCAATCTTTTGTTAATTTTATAAATTTGTTTTTTTTTGTATTCATTAGTTTAATTAGATTATTTTTAATTTATATCGATTTCTTTAATGAAGTATTATAGTATTTTGTTTGTAATTTAGCTTTTCTAATTTACAAAAGCATCATTTATAATATATTTTCTTTTTAAATAAACATAGAAAAGTATATATTATTTAATAATAGTATTAATAAATGAAGAATTACAAGCTTGTTTATTAAGTATAAATGAATTTTATTAATTTATTTATGATTATAGCTTTCTAATTACATAATGTTATATATATATATTTTTTTTTCCTGTGAGAAATATTATAACATTATATATTTTGTAATAAAAAAAATTACAATGACTACAAAACAGTTCTGATATAAAACAATACTTTTTTCTCCTACAATAAAATTAATTTTCTTAATAATTTAATCAGAAATTAGATTACTTTACTACTTCGACACACAGAAATTTTATTTAAAGCCAATCAAAAAAAAGGAAAAAAGAGAAAAAAACATTAAAAAAAAGAGAAAACCAATTTAGTAATGCTGCTTCTCTCTACTCTACCCCCATCTAAATTTAGTGTTCGATAAAAGTTACATAGGAATGAGAATTTAGGTAACAAACTTTTCGAATCAATTTATGACCATTGAATTAAAATGATATCAAGCAACGTTTTATAATTATTTTTTTAATACAAGAATTTCTTCTCCTGTATTGAATACACTCAATTCAGTATCTGGATGAATTCAATTTGTATGCACAGCAATGATATTAATAATTTGTTTACATTAAAAAANATAAAAGTTTTATTTATATTTTAATAAAATTTTTATAATTAATTCCACATGAAAAATCAAAGTGAATAATGTAAATAACATTAAATAAGACATAATTTTATTTTTCTGAAGAAAATTATATTTCTTTTGATTTTTAATTTGTAAAGAAAGAAGTGTCATCAACAGACGACAAAACCATAACAGTATAAAATGCTTCTGGGCAGTTACTTTGTTCTTTACTAACTCCGACTGGCAAGTGATTAGCAATTGTTGCCAGAGGAACATCCCAAAGCTTTAAAAGTAATGGTTAATTGCTTTAGAAGATCAGACAATGCCAAATTGTCTAGTAGTTATTTTGACTCTGTTGCATTCTACAATTCTACAAATTAAGATAGTCCAGTTGTAGAAAAAAAAATACAGGAATTACTTCCGAATCTAGGTGGCATTTTCTACTTGAAAAGACTTGTAAAAATTCAGGTTTTTTAATAATTCAATAAAAGAAACCAGCGATATACAAAAGATTTAATATTCATATTATATGTATTTTTTTGAAGTATATAATCGTGAACATTTACTAAGAACATATTTTTCATAAAAGTAGTATATACTAATGCACGACACGGATGAAAATCTCTAGAGTATTCCATCCTCTTCTTCAGATTAAATGGTTTTCTTTCGAACGAATGAGTTAGCGATGAAGAAATGAAAAGATGTCGACATTACTTCGAATTGTTTAGCTATTGTCAGTTTGGAACAAGAATTTCCATCAGCATCTAATTACAAGTTAGAATAGATTTCTCCTTTTTTTTATTTTTATTTTTAGAATAATTTTCTTGAAGAATTACGTTTTATTTCATTCCCTTTTCTCTTCTTTTTCCACGATAAAAATGATGATTGTTTAATGCCAACTCGTGTTTTAACGAATGAACAATTATGAAAATTATGACATAAGATTAAGTAAATTGTTATAAATTAATTAACGATATTTATAGATCCATTAAAATGGTTAATTCTCATTTTCGGGATCGACCCATGTTTAGTATCATTGGTATAACCGAGCGAATGTGTGTATACATTTCTCCACCATTATAGTATAATTATGTATAACGTGATTGAAAATTACTGCTTTGTGAGAAATTTATCGCTGTATACAATCAAATAGTTAATAATATTATTTTACAAGTAAAAAAAAAAGGGGGAGGAGGTACAGATTTGCAATTAGCAAACTCTCTTAAACATTAATTACATGTCGTTTAGCTTTCATTTGATATTGTTGAAGTAAATCTTTGTAAAGTCTGATTAACGAAAAGATTATGTTAAATCTTACAAATTTAAAGTTTATTCTAGTTATATTGTATTAAAGAATTTATTTTACAATTCAGATAGAATTCGTGTAAATAGTCAAATAGCCTACAGTTATGAAGTATGGCTTCTGTCAATAAGTATTTCTGATCAATAAAATGTTTAGCTTTTATATTCATCGATTAAAATAAACTGCAGAAAAATTGTTTTTTATTCAGTTAATATATTTAATACATTTATCAATAATAAAAAAAAGTACATACACACACACACACAGTACTTATATATAGATTTTTAGTTTTTATGTTGAAATTCTATAACTACAAATTCCTATAATTTTGTTCAATATATCTCTTTCTCTAAAAAGTAATTTTCTTTAGAAATATGCTTTTAAATTAGATATAGGTCAAGATTTTTCCCATTTTCTTCACCTATTTTTGTGTGTAGATTATTTAGTTTTGTAACATGGCTCTTGATAGTGATGAAAGTTGAATATCAGCCAAGGTTTTGTGTAAAGGTTATCAAATAAAGCGTAAAATACAATGTAGAAAAGATTTTTATACTGTAAATTTTTATTTTTATCCCAAACTTTATTCATTTTTTTATGTGATAACAAATTTATTTTACTTTTACATAATATTATTGAAATAAATTAAGCATTGAAAATAATGATAAAATGAATTTTTAAAAAAGTTACTGAATTAATTTTTTTATACTTTTAATACCGATTAATTTCTATAAAAAGAAAATAAACTATTAATTTGATATTATGATTTAACATTTTATCATCGTGATTAATGAGTTTTCGAGATAACTATCATAATTATCATAAATGATAACAATGTTTTTTTCCCCTTAAAAAATCATTTAAAAATGATAAGATTGATTAATTTTATCTATTATATTTTCCATTAAATGATATGTTATTATGTATCTAATCAAAATCGATACAATATATGATTCCCTTATAATTTTCTACGTATTGGGATTAACATGTCCATAAGATGTATTGCCTTGTTTCTTTTGTATATGAAGTGTCTCTCACTCT